CTTTGATTCATGTGATGCTTTGCAAGAACTTGCCATGATGTTTTAGTGATCTGCAGAACAAAAAACAAAACAAAACCCCAAAGGTTCATAACTGCTGACTTAAGGCTGATGCAGTTTGTTTTCCTGCACAGACCGGAGAATGACAACAAAGTTGCTGAACTTTTCATGAATGCTCACCTGCTTTATAAGTGGGACATTCTATGGGTTAAAACAATTTGTAGTCAGTTTTTTAAGAAACCATTTCTGAGTTGGTTAATTTACCCAGCATTTAATTAAAATAACAGTTATTAATAAAAATCAATCCAGGTTTTATGAAACCTGAAAGTAAACTCTGCTAGAAAAAAAGGGAGGAAACATGACATATAACTTCAGGTCTCTGACAGCTCCTCACCATGTCATATGTTTATATTTCATCAGAATAATTTCTGTGTAACAGTTGAATCATTTTTATCCTTTTATTTTAAAAACCATAAAAGCTATGAAAATATATATACATGTAGATCCATTAAACAATACTTTTATTTGTGTAAATAAACATAAAAATATTAAGAATATGAAAAATCTGCCCTTTTTCAGACTATAGTATTATCCCTATGAAGATTAAGTGAGTACATTTTAAAAATTGTTTATTTCTGATTTGAAATGGTGGCTGTATCTATTACTTCTCCAGCCAAAAACAGCTCTGATACATCTCTTCCTGTATCTGTATGCAGAAGATAAATTGAAATTCCAAGCTGTGATGTGGTGGTGGAATATATTATACCCAAACTGCTGTGGAGGAACAAGGATGCGGGTTTTGATTGATCAAATTGGAGATTTTCCTCCTTTCAGCATGAAGATGGTACAGCTAAGGGGTCAGAAACTAATCTCCAAATCTTATATATCTCAGTGCTTCTGCTTCTGAAATTTCACATGATTTCATAGGAATACTAAACTTTTGCACAAATTCAGCCATGTTTAACAATTATTTCTATTTAATAAAGAGGTTCTAAAGATGTTATCTAGGTGAAGGAAGCAATGGCAAACTGTATTCCATACTGCAGCCAAGAAAATAATGTGGACATCTTCATGAAGACACCAGGAGTTGAGGTGAAGGAGACTTTATCATACTTTTTAACCATATACTGCAACCTACCAAAGATATTTTTATTCAGGAACGTTTTTCTTCTATTGGGAAACATTTATACCTGGTGATTTTAAGTGTTCGGCCTGCATCCGCTGCATTTTAATATTGTAGTTTTAGAATACTGCAAGTTTAATAGTAAGCTACCTCAAGCAGTAAGTATACATTAAGAATGTGGTAGCCTCCCCTCCCCGCAATATAAATAAAGGAATGCCTACCTCTTTGGATGCTTGTTGACCAAAACAAACAAACAAACAAACAAAAACCCAGCAACAACTGTCCCTGTCCTTTGAGATATGTTTCATTCATAGATGAAGGATGCAATTAGTAGAAGGATGCAATTGAAATTTTTTTTTCAATTTTTAATTGAAAAAGTAATCTAATACTTATGAAATCATGGTTCTTTAAACACATCAAAATACCCTGTGACCGACTTACAACTTAAACATATAATTTAATTCAATTAGAAAACAGGGGCTTGCATATAGCTGACAAAGTCTGGCAATTAATAATCTTTCTGTTTTGTACAGTTTACATAATGCAACTCCCTGACACCAATTCTCCATGCACATATATTTATGAATGTTTTCAGTTAAGAATACAGTTTTCTTTATATATTCAACCTTAAAGCTACACTATATAAATTTTCTGTTTTGGTGTTCCCATATAGAGCATCAGAAACAATTAAATAAATTTGGATGTCTCTGTTAAGATAGCTAAGCGATATGTAGTGTCCAGAAAAAGAATTAACAAGTTGTGCCAAGGTCACTAAAGGGTTGATTATTGAAAACGATATACTAGTAAATTAACGATGGGAATATCGTATACTTTAACCAGTTACGCCCTTTCCTGGATCAGGATGCCCTTCGAACGGTCACTCATGCCCTTATTATCTCCCAGATAGACTACTGCAATGTGCTCTACGTGGGGCTACCCTTGAAGAGTATCCGGAAGCTTCAGCTGGTCCAGAATGCAGCCACGTGAGCTATTTTTGGGGCCCGAAGGACCCATATACCACCAGTGCTTCGCGAGCTGCATTGGGTACTGGTTTGTTTCCGGGTCCAATTCAAGGTGTTGGTTATACCTTTAAAGACCTTCATGGCATGGGGCCAGGTTACCTGAGGGACCACCTCTTCCCCACGAGTTCATCCCGTCCCACCACACAGAGAGGGCATGCTCTGGACCCGTTCGGCAAAAGAACTCCGACTAGCGGGGTCCAGAAGATGGGCCTTCTCTGCTGTAGCCCCCACCCTTTGGAATAACTTGCCCCTGGAGGTGAGATTGGCCCCCTCACTCCCAGCCTTTCGGAGGGATCTGAAAACCTGGCTCTACCATCTGGCCTGGGA